ATACATACATACATACATACATACATACATACACAAGCTCTCGTTACTAAAATTACACAAGATAAAAGGGGAGATAAAGGAGAAGAGAAATATTTTTAGATTAGTAAGAAAATATCAAAGCATATTTTCAATCAAATATAAAAAGACCAATTGGAAAGAATTATGCATTAATGTAAATAATATGGCAAGCATTGAAATAAAAATTTACTTACGTAAGAGAATATTGATAAATTCTGTACTACATATTTTTTTTATTAAAAAATTTTTTTTTAAATTATATGTGATAAAATTAATAACATTAATTATTAACACAATTAATGGTATTGATAATGTTAATAATACAATTAATAGTATTGATAATGTATGGAAATATTCATGTGATTTATATATGAATAAATTTTAATTTACTTTATTTAAATATAAATAAACATTAATCAGATAAGCTTTTTTGCAATTTTAATATTTTTAATGATACATTCTTTTCAGCATTAAATATTTTTATTAATGTAATTCTCGAAACTTTTCTTCTTTATTTGCAGAAACAGCAATGTATCGGGCGAGAGGTCGCCATTTGAAGGCTCTTGTTGTAGCGGGCAAGGCGGTAGTACCGATAGCGACATCGAGGAAAGTATTTCAAAGTACAGAGTTGTCTTACTGGGAGATTCCGGAGTGGGAAAGACGGCTTTGGTCTCGCAATTCATGACAAGCGAATACATGAACACATACGATGCTAGTCTAGGTAAGTCTGTGCATCTTTGTACGATGAACAATGCCATGACATTCTTTAATAAACGTGGCTGAAGTAAGATTGTTTTCTATTAAAAGAATTGATTATTTTATATCTTTGGTATAGGATTCTCTGTATTACGATACTTGACGTAATTCACAGTAATGCACAGTGTGTCACGGAAGTACGATTACGCATTGGAATAATTTCAAAAGAACTTTTCTTCTTTCTCTTATTTCTCATCAAAAATTCTTTTAATTCTTTCCTTTCTTTAATTAATTTTTTTATTTTTTACTGTTCATCACAAAAAAACTAGGTAGAGAATTTAAAGTGTTCAGTATATATCTCTAAAGAATGTTTATTCAGGAAGTCTTCTTTTTACCGATAATAATGTCTCTCGGTAGATTTTGTTCTCTTTTGATGTTCACCGATTCGTATTTATGTACTTTATATGCAGACTCGTCGTGAGATAATATCAGTGATCAAACGGGACTTTGCCATTTAATTAAATTTCTGAATTAATTAATTAATTAACTTTTAATTAAACGTAACACACTCTCTCATACAAAGACACATGACGTAACTAATGACTTTCGGTCGCGAAATTCAAGGTATAGAAACACTACGCCTGCTTCTCTGAAGGAGAGTTAATAATAAAACGGAATGAAGAAAAATTCACTTTGCTCGTTTTACATTTTTGTCGGTTGCACGGCTTTGAAACGTAGGTACACTTCATGAAGGGAACGATCTTGTATCCTAGCGCAATTGCGAGCAACGTTTGCTGCAATAGTTTCAAGCATGAACAAGGATTTTACAAGCGCACTGTTTGGATACATATATTTGTTCTTCTATGACGGCGAATGGTCATACACGTGCATGAACGCCATGTGCAAGAACGTATGGAGTGAGGTACTGAGGATACGTTCTTTTTTATATTTTATTTCTTCTTACATACACGCTAATGTATTGTAATTATTAAAAAATTCTGTGTTGCACGAATTATTGTCAAATTGTCTTTGTAAATTATTTAATTTATATATTTGTACTATCTATTATAATCTATATAATCTATCTATTTATCTATTTATTTGTTTATAATTAATCTGTCAAGGATAAATGCTCTTTTAAATTTAATTTTATAGTATTATATATATATATATATATATATATATACATAGTATATGTTGTTATTTAATTAATATAAGGATTTATTATATTTATATTCGGATTATAAAATAATTTATTGATTTTGAATTGTGATCTTTTAAAATTAATAAACATATATGTATAAATGTAAGCCATAGTTTAAAATCGTTAATAGTTTACACTAATGCATGACAAATTATAGAGTTTGTGCATCAATTAACTTGATATTTGTCTTTCAAACTCAGTTGTCCTTTCACTTGAAAATTCACTTTGCATGTTCGAATATATAATTATATATCCTGTGCATAGATACGTAATATACATTTTGTTTTCTCTTTTTTAATATTTATGATTACGTAATTATATGATAATTTTTATATGATAAAGTCTTATATCAAAAAAATTATTATACACGAAAAGAACAGCTTTTGCTAAAGTATCTAAAAATTTGAAGATATAAATAAATACAGATATACGTATTTGAAAATAATTTTGTTGCGCTATCAAAATAATTATATCCTTCAAATTGGTTGTTGAAATATTATAAAGTTATTGCAATATTCATATCATAATGTTTATACGTTCCACATAATCATTTTGATGAACTAACAACAATATTTTCAGATCTGTATCTATTCAAATTTGTAGATACTTCTATAAAATCATTTTCTCTATGCGATATAATACAAATTGCAATACAAATTAGATAAGATAGATAGCAATTTTAAAATAAAGCTAATTACATTAATTGAATAAGAAAAATATTTAAACCTCTAAATACGCATTAATTACTTATTGATTTGCAAAGCATATCTAATTAGGGATATCAAATTAGTTTAACATTAATTCAGGAGTATTTGCATCACAAAACAAACATATATTATTGTACACTAGATAATAATGTCTTTTAAATAAATATTTATACATATGATTGAAGATTGAGAATGAACGAAAATTTATATAATGTTTATGCATGGAGCTTTTGCATCGTAATATCGTAAATATTCATGAGCAATATTAGCAATATTCAACAACATTCAGCACAGACCTTCGCCTTTATGTTGTAGACGACGAATTTGGCGAGAAAACTGTTTCGATTTTGTTAGATGGTGAAGAATCGGATATGATTTTTATCGATCATCCACATATAGAAATGAGCGTAAGTACTGAAGTCTTTTGAAATATATGTATGCATTATAGTGATTAGTGGTTATTATATATGTAATATATAATAATTACTAATCACTATTATGTATGTTTATTATATTGTCTCTATTATATATATATTTTTTATTATATATGTTTATTATATTGTCTCTATTATATATATATTTTTTATTATGTATGTTTATTATATTGTCTCTATTATATATATATTTTTTATTATATATGTAGCTAACGTTTATTATATAAGTTTTACGATAAGTCAATGAAACTTTGTACAAAATAGCATGTGGAATCTATTTAGACATATATTAGACATATATAAGACATATATTTTAACGCATAAATTTAATGAGATTTATGTGACTATAGCATTATATTTTTTATAATTTCAATTTTGAATGATTAGCTACTAATATATTAAACTATCTATGATCTTAATAGGAAGAAAGACTTTTAGTATAGGATATAAGATATGACATAAAATATTTCCAACGGATCGATAAATTAAGCAGTTTACTCGACATATATAAATTCACTTATAAATGCAAATATATGAAAA